TGAACCCTCCCCCCACAAAGCCTAGATAAGCCTTACTGACTGAGGTGAAGGTGAAAGCTCTGCTCGAGCGAGTTCATAGTGCATGGGATGCTGCGGTCACGGCTGACCTGCCACAACAAACAGCGCTGCAACTGCTCTTCATATTGACCAATCTGAAGCCGACCACAAAGGTCAGTGAACTCAGGGTCGATATGAAATACAGCTTGCTTGGTCAGCGATGTGAGAATGCCCATAGGCGTCAATCCGTCTGCGATAGCAGCAGTTGGAACCGCATAGCCAAACCGGTTCTGGGACTGGGGGTGAATATGTCTGAGCATTCTGTTGACAGGGTTGCCTTGGAGTGTGGATGGCAGTCCACATGGATGACCGAGGATGTCACGACCTATGCCAGGCGTAGAGCGAGAGCAAGGCAGTCCACTGAGACGCAGGGACGTCTCAGTTTCAATCCGAGTCCTGCTCCAGCTGCCCCGCCAACGGTTCCGCCGTCGGAAGGCAGAGTGCCAGACGTGGTCCGTTCTGGTCCTTTGCCAACGACTGCTCCTAGTTCCAATCCAAGCCAGGCTGTGGGTCGCAGCCCGGCTGGGGAACAAGGCAGAGTGCCGATTCAACAGCCGCCTGCCTCCCCTCATGCCGTTCCGGGTTCCAATGCAAGCCAGGCAACCGAAGGCAGCCAGGCTGCAGGAAGTGAACAAGACAGAGTGCCGAGGGTTGTGGAAGGCAGAGTGCCAGTTGATGGGAATGCTCCTGCCATGGATGACGATGGTCTAGCGCCGGCAGAGGCAGAGATCAGGCCCGATCAGGAGATCGTCATGCCTCCTGCAGAAGTGACCACTGCACCTCAAACAGTTGAGTTGCCAGAGCCAGACACCTCCACGAACAGTGACTCGACAGCCGGTGCTGACGTGAATGCCGTTGTGCCCTTTGCGACACCCAAGTCGAAAGCCAAAGCAAAAGCCAAGGGCAAGTCGAAAGCCAAGGCCAAGTCCAAGGCCAGGGCGACGGCACCAAACACAGAGTCGCAGGACGAGGTCGCAGTCGAGGTCGATGATGAGGTCATGGCCGAGGCCGGGGCCGAGGTCGAGGCCGGGGCCGAGGTCGAGGCCGAGGTCGAGCGCGAGGCCGACGACAGTGCCTTCTTTGAGGAGGAGGAGGAGGATGCTCCGAATGAGTCGAGCAGACCTGCGAACCGGTGGAACCAGGACCTCTGTGTCATTTGCCATTCGGAGATGCACCCGGGCCAGGCAGGCTGGTTTCGTTTGCCTTTGGTTAATGAACCATTGATAGTGGTGCCTGTCCTGTTTGTACATTCCACTAATCCTCAGAACAGTACCTCTCACATGACGTGTCTTTTTCTGTTGCTTCCCTGGAATGCAGGCATTGGAAGCGCTATCGTGTGGCCACCTCTTTCACAGCGAATGTATCAATCGATACTGTGAGTCGACCGGGCGGAACAAGGCCACCGCTTGCCCTCTCAAGTGTGCGAGCTCAGCCTCTATGGCAAGGTTCTTTTTGGGTCCGAGGGGGTCCACGGGAAGCAATGCCCCTGTTCCTGTCGAAGATGATGCTAATGATGTGGACGCAATCGTTCAGGAAATACAAGCTCAACTCGTTGACGACCGCACTCGTGAAGAGGAAGCTCCTGAGGTCAACGACCCCGTGGTGGACTGATTGCGTCGACAAGGTGGCTCGGTAACAAGGCAGAGTGCCACAATAACTGGCTCATGTGTATGTGTTGTCGGTGATGTGGCCTCGAGTCTTATTAATTTTGGAGGTGTGGCAATGCCATTGTCACGGATATTTTCTGCTTGCAGACTTTTCTTTCTTTTGAAAACTTGACAGGCAGCTATGCTGCCGTGTTTGCATTGACATGATTTCATGATTTTCTTGCTCCCAGTTTAAGTGAAGCCGTGCGAATGCTTTTACCATTCAGCAGCTCTTCTCAAGAGGGGGGGCAGAAAATTTTTGTTTGGCTCCGGGGCCCTGGGGTTCACTTTAAACCTCAAGAGGCCCGAACCGAAACAGTGCGACGCTCGGGACTAGCCCGCCGTGCAAGCAGCCTCCTGTCGGGGCTGCGGATGGAGCCAGGCTGGCTTGACGGGCATGCTTCCGAGTGGCAGCGAGCCATTCCCTCCCGAGCCCCCGCTTGTGCTTCAGGCTCCGCCAGCCCATCTCAGTCCAGACGCTTTGCTAGGGGGTGGGTTGGAGCATCAAGGCCCTGAGAGTTCACATCATTCAGCTGACCGCTTGCTTAGGTCCGAGGAGGAGGGTTCGGATTGCACGTGGGACTTGCTCAGAGATCGGGTTCCCGTTGCCTCGGTCCAGGGTTCAGATGCTTCCCAGCTGGCTTATGAACCGTCGCTTCAGGAAGAGAGAGAGTGGTACTCTCAGATCGGGGAACCGCTTGAGCCCGAGTCACCCAGCCTTTGTCAATTGGAGGAACATTCGCTTTGCATTCCCCCAGTTACCGATCCCAACGTCTGGCTGGAAGGTGAACAGGCGGAAGGCGATGCCCGCCGAGCAGCCATTGTATCTTTCAGCAAAAGGCAAAGGCTTGACATCCCAAGGCAACCTTGGGAACCTCCGAGGACAGCACTGCAGCAGAGCTTTCGTGACATTTTCGATTTTGTTCCCTCGGTTGGCGTCATGGACACACTGAGACAGCCTGTGGTGCTACCTGACCCCAACCCTGACGAACCTAGTAGGATCCCTTGGACCATAACGAGAAGGTTAGCTAGGGTAAGGGTCACCCCAAGTGACGACGACATAAGGAGTGGAGCCTTGAAGCGCCTGAAGGTTCTTGTCTTGCTTGACCCCGAGGCCACCGCTTTGGGCCAAAGCCTGGTCCAGCACGGGCTAAACCTTGAGCCGGATGAGGTGGTCTCCCGTAGCATCGCAGACGCCTTTCGAGCCAAGGCATCCACTACCTTGCAAAAGCGAGCCCTATCGTTGCAAACCTTTTCAGTCATGGCTTATGACTTGAATTTTGATTCGCCCTGGAGGCTCACCGAGCCTCAAGCTTACGAGTTGTTTTGCAAGTTGAGGGAGTCGGGAGCCAAAGCATCAACGGCAACGCATCTCATTGAAGCTTTGGGATTCTTGCATGGGGTTGCCGTCTTCAGGTCGATGTCGTTGGAGGCGGTGCTCTCTTCACGGGTGCGGGGAATCGCCAGAGAACTCAAGCTCACAAAGGAGCCACTGCGCCAGCGAGATCCTCTCTCGCTGGAGAGGGTGAAGCGACTTGAGGAGCACATGGGCCGGGCTTCCAGCTGGCTCCGCTGCATTCTTGGCATGTTCTTGTTTTGCGTGCATTCATGTTGCCGATGGAGCGACGGGCAACGACTGAGGAAACTAGAGCTTGTGGGGGAGGGCAAGGGCCAACTGTTGATAGGTTCGGGGTTAGGGTCGAAGACTAGCCTTACCGCCGATGCCCAAACCAAGTTTCTCCCCTACGTGTGTGTCGCCGAGGGAGTTTCTCAAACCCCCTGGGCAGCCTACTGGTTGGAAGCTCGCCGTCAGGAGGGATTATACTTCAGTTCAGGTGGGGTGCCTACCTGGTCACAGAGGCTTGGTCAATGGGGAAGCACGCCTATGTCATCTGAAGAAGCGTCAGAAATCCTTCACGAAGTTCTGGCCGCGCTTGGGGTGGAGATTCAGGAGGGCGAGTCCATTGGAACTCACAGCTTCAAGGCCACCCTCCTCTCTTGGGCAGGCTGGTCGTCTGCAGTGAAGTTTTCGCCGAAGGAGAAGCTCCTGATGGGTCACCATTACAAGCAGGGGGGGTCGTCAAACCTTATTTACTCCCGCCAGTTCTACATTTGCTTATCAGGGAAGATCCTGGCCATGTTTGAGAGCATCCGGGCAGGAGACTTCGATCCAGACTTGAGTACTTCAGACAGGGTGGTGGCTGTTGCCGAATCACACTTTCGTCGGGCAGAGGACTCAACGCTTCTTGACCCCGTGGAGGCGGAGGAAGCTTTCTCGGAGGCTTCGCGATCGGCGGAGTCGGAGCCCGAGTTTGTGGAACGTCGTGGAGCGCCGATGCAGGGCAGGCTCCCGTTCACCGACTGCACTTCTGATCAGCTTAGAGTCCACACCCTTTCGAACATTGTGCATAGAGTGAGGGACTTGACCAGTTTCTTTTGCGGCCGCCCCATCACGTCTCGCTATAGACCATTTTCCTTAGGAGATGAGGCCGAGCCCGAACCGTGTATTCAATGTCGCCGGGCGTCAGAGCTGGACAGCTGAGCTTGGTGTGAGAAAATTGGCGTGAGCCTACACCGGGAGCCGAGGCTGAGGACATCAGTCCGAGGGGCCGACCTTGGTGGGGTCCGTGGCTCCTCCGGGACGGTGCAAGTCGAGGGGGTTGCAACCTGTGCCATCCCAGCTACATACACTTCAAAGGAGCCGGCGCTTCTCGCGCCCGGGGCTCCAAGCAGACAATGTGCATACACATTCGGTACAACTTGGATAGATGTCGTTGGGTCAGCGGGTGCATGTGCCGGCATCCGTGCCCGTGGCACTGCCAGGCTGCCCAGTTTCTGAAAATGTTCTGAGCGGGGGTGTGCATCCTTCCCGGCTCGCAGAGAGCTAGGGCGAACTTGTGCTAGAGTTGTGTTTCAGCGGGAAGTCGAGGGGGTTGCGACCTGTGTCATCCCAGCTACATACACTTCAAGGGAGCCGGCGTTTCTAGCGCCCGGGGCTCCATGCAGGCAATGTGCATACACATTCGGTACGACTTGGATAGATGTCGTTGGGTCAGCGGGTGCATGTGCCGGCATCTGCGCCCGTGGCACTGCCAGGCTGCCCAGTATCTGAAGATTTTCCGAGCGGGGGTGTGCATCCTTCCCGGCTCGCAGAGAGCTAGGGCGAACTTGTGCTAGAGTCGAGATTCACGAACACGGAGGATGCCAATACGGTGACGAATCCAAGCCATTTTCAAACAACCTGGACAGCACGTGGCAACCTGAAGTGAGCCTCTTCAACTCATTCAGTGTGGAGCCATGTCATCAGCGACCCTCGACAGTGAAGCTGCCTTCAAGGAGAGATGCCTGAGGATAGGTATGACCAATGAGCTCTACGCAAAGCTGCAGTCCGCCGGGTACGACACCTTCGGAAAGATTGCTTTCGCGGCCGCCAGCTCTCCACAGGCTCTCACGGATGAGGCCATCGACGTATGGCTAGCTTCGGTTGTGGACCCAAGGCCTTCCCCTTTCCAGGTGTCGGTGGTGCGCCGTCTGCTCTTCGAAAGTCAGTCTCTCAACATTGCTGACCTGAAGTCAAGGGTGGAAGGGCAACCGGAGAACACCATCAAGAAGCTGCCCACCGCCGAACGCTTGGCTCGCCAGGCGGAGCAACAGCACCGCTTGAAAGGAGTGATCTTCACCGTGGCCAACATGCCATCGCATTCTTCCATAGACCAGGTCACCGACATGCTGGAGAACAATCTGCTCAGGTACCTTCCCATAAACCGATGGACCTCGAGGGCTCAGGAACTGAGTTTGGCCAAGAAGGACACTTCCATCCAGCTGGACTCGGACGGGACATTGAAGTTGGGGGCCAAGACTCCCGACTCTGTCTGCGATACAAACGGAGCATATGCATTGAGGCAAGCGTTCTTTCGGAGGTCCCTGGCGATGGATTTGGGGCATGTTTGTTCATTTGAGGTCATGGAAGAATGGGTCAACTCCTTGTTCGAGCTAACCCAGCGTGCGGTGCCGACAGGTCACGCTAAGGTGTCCCTGTCTCAGATCATCAGTGCAGACCGGGAGCTCTTTGTGAGGGCTGCCAACAACTTGGAAGGGAAACTTCAGAAGCCCGTTGGAGCAGCCAAGCCGTTGGATGCCGAACTCAAACGCCTCTCCGAGTCTCATGAGATCACTCAGTTCCTCACCCCGCTGCTCCTGCCGCCACCGCCTGCTCACCCCACGAAGCGTCCAAACGAGGGCGCAGATGATAAGCCTGACAAACCCACACGCAAGATCAAGGGTAAGGGGGATAAGGGAGGCGGCAAAGGGAAGGGGCATAGGATTGAGATTCCCGAAGGCTGCGCGGCCAAAGACTCGCAGGGTCGACCAAATTGTTTTGGGTTTAACTTGGGAACCTGTAAGGCCAAGGTGGTGAAAGGCAGATGCCCCCGAGGCTTTCACCAATGTTGGAAGGTAGGATGTAACAAGGATCACCCTTACAGCGAATGCACACATGGCATGCAATGAAACAGCCCTACAGGGGCTGGACGCACTGGGTATCCGGCCCTTGGGGCTGAACTAGATGTTGAAACCCTAGCCAAATCTCTTAATTCAGCCGACACTGCACCCTCTCGTGCAGACTTGGAACGCTTGCATGCCCTCATCTCAGATTCCGAGCTTTTGCGAACTGATGCCAGGACCAAACGGCCCAACTTCGGTGTGGGCGCCTTTTCCCAAGGTGGCCTTCAAGGCCTCAGGGGGGAGTGTAAGAACTTCCCGCAAGTCACGAAGGCAATCACCTCCTTTGTACGGTCCCAGCTGCCTGACCTGTTCTTCACATCAGTTTTTCTTTTCAGTAACTCAATGACTTCAGTTCATGTGGACGCACGCAACCACAAATCCCCAACGGGAATCATTCCGGTGTCCACTTTTGAAGGGGGACACCTCTGGATCCAGGAGGCCGGCGGCACGGTTACCAGGACCGTACAGGGCCGACCCATGTCAGGCATTTTGCTAGACGTGGCCAAAGGGCCGGCAACCTTCGACGCTTATTGCAAAGCCCATTGCACGGAACCTTGGACGGGTCATCGGCTGGTGGCGGTGGCTTTTTCGGTTGCCGACCTTAGTAAGCTGTCGCTGACGGAAGCCCAGACCCTTTTGGACCTAGGGTTTAGGCCCCCGCCTTCGCTCAGGTTTCCGATCCCCGTGGCTGACCAGGGAAACCCGCCTATGCGCAATGACACCCCTTGGCTCTTCGAGGTCTTCGCAGGCTCCGCAGGGCTCTCTCGTGCCTGCCTGCGCAAGGGTTTTAGGGTGTTAGCCATTGACACCAGGTTCGATAGCGCGCAGGCTCCGACGGCACACCTTGACTTGACCTCCGAAGCGGGTCGCACCATTTTCTGGGAAATGCTGTCCCAATGCAGACCCTTCCATGTGCACATAGGCGTCAAGGCGGGTACAGCAGCAGCTTCACGCCACAGCCAAAAACAGTGTGGCAACAAGCACACAGTCCCTCCGCGCTCGCTTCAGCATTGTTTGGGGTCGCCGGCGGCGTTCGCCTCGCCCATGGGGGCGAAACTGAGACGCGAGAACGCGTCCTTTCGCTTTTGCTTTGACCTTGTGCAGCACTGTGTGGAGCAGGGAATCTCGGTTAGCCTGGAAAACCCTGCCAACTCTCTTCTGTGGCATGTTCTGGAGCTCTTTGCTAAGCAAAGCAAAATCAGTTGGCCGCCGAGTGAACTCGAGTTTGTCTCCTTGGCTCAGTGCGCTCACGGAGGCGAAAGGCCCAAGCAAACCAAATTCTTAGCTTCAGTCGGCCTCTTCACCAAGCTCAAGGCCAGTTGTCCAGGTAACCACCAGCATGCTGCCTGGTGGTCTGCATCCAGACTTTCCTCAGCCTTGCCGCCCTTGCTATGTGCTCGCATGGCCGACTGCCTTGGTGACGCGGCGGCCCAGGGTGCTTGTGCTCTCTCGCCAGCTCCGGACTGGCAAGCTGCAACATGGGCCAAACTAGGCAAACAAAGTAGGCGCCACCCGCCCCTAATTCCCGAGTTCTGCCGATACACTTGGGAGCCCAGCAGCTTTAAGCCGGATAAGTCTTGCAAGATCCTTTTGACCCATTCAGAGGGGGAAGTGAAGGAGGGCAGCCAAAAGGATGCAGAAGGACCTGCTGCATACAGTCCTCCCGACCAGACTCATGCTCCCCAGGAGCCTGCCTCAGGGAGAGACTGCACTTGCAAAGTGGGACATTGGCTTAATATGGAACAACACGTGCAGAGTGCCAAGAAACTGGGTCATCCCGTCGATGCCCAAATCCAGATCGACCCCGCTACTCAGGAGGCCGTTAACTTTTGCATGGAGCACGAGGCTGCCGAAGCCAACAAGCTAAGGAAGCTCGAGCTCTTGAAAGTAAAGTTGAGGGCCAAGTCTTTGGAAGCGGAGGAGCGGAAGCTCCATGCCTCTTTCCCAAGCTGGTACGAAAAAGTGGTGAAAAATAAACGCATCTTGCTCTGGGAGACCTTACTTGTCGAACACGGTTACGATGACCCGACCGTAACCAGACTTCTAAGAGAAGGGGTGCCCTTAGTAGGAGTTTCAGAAAAGCCATCCTGCTTTAAAACCAAAGTGGTGATGGCCTCCATGACTGAAGCGGAACTCAGGTCCACGGCAGCCTTGAGGCGCAGGGCTATGCTCACGAGATTTTCAGTCTCCACGGCCGAGGAGATAAAAGCCTTGAGCCAAGCTTCCAACGAGGAAGTGTCAGAAGGGTTCCTGGAGGGACCGTATACGGAAAGTGAGGTCAGTGATCTTTTGGGCCACTCCGAATGGGGTACCATCCCTAGGTTCATCCTCGAGCAAGGCACGGAGAAAAAGATCCGTCCCATCGATGATGGACATGCGTCCCAGGTTAATGATGCATACACTGCCACCATAAAGTTAGAATTGCAGGGGTCTGACTATGTGGCGAGCCTAGCCATCTTCATCTCCCAGGCCGAGTGCGACCGAGCTCGCCGCTTGGGGGTGCCCCCACGCCCGTGGGTGGGGCGCACCCTCGACCTGAGCAAAGCATATAAGCAGCTGGGAGTGCTGCCACAGCACCGGGATATAGTAGTAATTTGCCATCGGGATTCTTCAGGGAAAAACTGTTTTTACGTGGCCAATAGCTTATTGTTCGGACTATCCGCTTCGGTGTATGGGTTCGTGAGAGTGGCGAGAAGCCTCCAATTTCTTTTGGCAAAAGTCTTGAAAATTCCGCTGGCAAACTACTTTGACGACTACCCACTGTACTCCTTGAAAGAGGGATCTTCTGAACTTGATGAGATGACCTCCGAGCTGCTCACCCTGCTCGGGTGGAGGTTCGCGCAGACCGGCACCAAAGGTCGGCCATATGACGCAGTGTTCTCAGTCTTAGGAATGAACATGGACCTCAGTTGCCTTCATCAAGGCACCTTGGTGATGACTAACAAAGAGGGGAGAGTAGATCGCATAATCTCACAACTGCGTGAAATAGCAGACCGAGGCCAGCTTGGACGCCATGAATCCCAGATCCTGTTAGGCCTCCTTAACTTCGCGTCGGGCTTCTACGCTGGCAGATCCTTGAAGCAGGCTTGCCACACTCTCCTCACCGTGGTGAGGGGCAAAACTTTGAGCCCCGACGAGGTGAAAAGGTTCTGCAAACAAACTGAGGTCGTCTTGTCTTCTACTCCTCCGCGAGCGCTGAGAATTTTTGACCCTTTACAGCCGGTCCACGTTTGGACGGATGGATCCTGGGAGGCCCCTTTGGCAGGGCTAGGTGCAGTGACCTTCGACACCCTGACCGGCAAAGGCAGGGTTTTTCAGGGTCAGGTTCCTGGGGATTTAATCTCTTGCTGGCTGCAGAGCGCGGGTTCCCAGATAATTTGCGAGGTAGAACTGTACGCTCTGGTCACCATCAGACGCATGTTGCAAAACGACTTCTGCGGCAGGAGAGTTATATTCTGGCTTGACAATGAGGCAGCACGAGCAGTTGCCATAAAAGGATTGAGCCCCAGTGAGCCGATGTATCGGCTGGCGCATTACCTTGCAGTCATCGACTCCGAGGCCCCGTGTGTGGCTTGGGCGGAGCGCGTACCATCTTTTTCTAACGTAGCAGATCCCCCCTCCCGTGGGGATGGCAACAGCATTCTACACCTGGTGAACGCAGAGCGGGTGGAACCCTTCGTTCACGACAAAGATTCGAACTTGAGATTCCTGCTGCAAGGAGCCGCGTGACTTCGGGGGTATCCAGGACGGGCCTCCTCACTCAAGCCTCGACCTTTGTGGTGACTCGTTGGGCCCGGATGTTTTCACATCGGCCTTAACCGGAGTCGACTGGGGGCTCCTGGATCAGACTTTTCCCCAGACCGAAGTCGTTGAAAAAGATCGTTGCTGCGCGAGGGATCTGACATGTTTTTATACATACGAGGAGTTATATTAAACTCCATGTTTTCGCATATTGGCGACGTGATATGTTGATCTTGATTTTTACAATAGATTGATTTGAACATACATAGTCAATGCCTCTTTGTATTGTCGATTGCAAACATCAAGTTTTTGAAAGAAGGATATTTTCTGCTTGCAGACTTTTCTTTCTTTTGAAAACTTGACAGGCAGCTATGCTGCCGTGTTTGCATTGACATGATTTCATGATTTTCTTGCTCCCAGTTTAAGTGAAGCCGTGCGAATGCTTTTACCATTCAGCAGCTCTTCTCAAGAGGGGGGGCAGAAAATTTTTGTTCCCACCCTCCCACCCAATAGAGGACGGGGGGGTATCCAGGACGGGCCTCCTCACTCAAGCCTCGACCTTTGTGGTGACTCGTTGGGCCCGGATGTTTTCACATCGGCCTTAACCGGAGTCGACTGGGGGCTCCTGGATCAGACTTTTCCCCAGACCGAAGTCGTTGAAAAAGATCGTTGCTGCGCGAGGGATCTGACATGTTTTTATACATACGAGGAGTTATATTAAACTCCATGTTTTCGCATATTGGCGACGTGATATGTTGATCTTGATTTTTACAATAGATTGATTTGAACATACATAGTCAATGCCTCTTTGTATTGTCGATTGCAAACATCAAGTTTTTGAAAGAAAGACATGTTTCTGAAGGCGGAGTGCCATGGGTTGTAACATGTGTTCCATGATCATTATGTATTGACATGATTGTGTTGCCTTGTGTTGCATTATGCCATCAGGAATGTATGTCTCTTTGTAATCCCAGGCGGTCTGTCGATTTCACAAGGATACTGCAGATGCCTGTGGACAAATCCGCGCCAAAGGCAGGATCCAACCTGTCCTAGAACACCAGTTGGGAGGGACCCAACAAAGGACCACGGAAGTCTGCAATGGGGTGCATCCGTGTTTAAAAAAACATATGGCCTTTGAAGGGACACCATCCCCATACCGCCCCACAGGCCCTGCAAAATCTTAGAAGACATTTGTGACACTTGTGGCATGCCCCGGAAAAATCTTATTGAATCTTATTGAATCTTATTGAATCTTATTGAATCTTATTGAATCTTATTGAATCTTATTGAATCTTATTGGTCCATCATTTTTAAAAGGGACACGACTCCAGATCGCCCCAAAAAATCTTATTGAATCTTATTGAATCTTAGAAGACATTTGTACAATTGTGGCCTACCCCGAAAAAATCTTATTGAATCTTATTGAATCTTATTGAATCTTATTGAATCTTATTGAATCTTATTGAATCTTATCGGTTTTACAAGGGACACAGCCTCCAGCTCGCCCAAAAAATCTTATTGAATCTTAGAAGACATTTGCAGGATTGTGGACTACCCGAAAAAATCTTATTGAATCTTAGTGTTCGGGCCATCACGTTTTGAAGGCACACCGACCCTGTACCAGACAATTGCACACATGTAGCATCCCCTCCCAAAAGTCTTGTTGGAGCTTATTGAATCTTGGGAGCTAGTTATACAATATCGAATCCCATTGAATCGGCACAGTCCAGCTAACCCAACCAAATCCCTACGAGTAGTAACACATCTTATGATTAAGCATAAACTAGGTGGCACTCTGCCTTGAAGTACCTTTAAACCATGGACCTCCTTAAAACCTAAAACCCTGAAGCTCTTTTAAACCCTAAACCGTTACTGTGTGTGGTAAGTTTACACATAGACCTAGGTATATGTATAACATACATACATACATATAGATATATGTATGGATTATATGCATACACTTATTATTGGGCATACTGCTTTCGAACATTAAACTACATCATCTATTAATAGCACTCTGTCTTCAAATATGTGTTAATCTAATGATCATGTGCATAAATGCTTGTGTCGTCCAGTGGAACCTATTGCATGTGGTATTGAAACGGACATGACAATCAACTTCTAGTACCTGTTCGTACTATCCAACACATATAGTTGCTTGCAGCTTGTTGGATCAAAGATATTTAAAGTTAAGCACCATGGCACCGAAACCGAAGGCCAAACCGGCAGCAGCGGGGAGGATCGGCCGGGTGAGGACTCCGAAGCGACGGCCTCGTAGAGTGCCGCCAACCGGTGTGAATGGCATTGGTGAAGAAGGTGGTGGGGCGGAAGGCAGAGTGCCAGGGCCACAAATGGGTCCGCCGCCACCAACGCCTGTGAATCGGCCACCTTACCCACCTGGCCCAAGACCTCCCGCCCCTGCGCGACATGAGTTTGAGATTGCCCAAGCTGTGGCAGAAGCGTTGGACATTATGGAGACCCCGATCATGATCAACTTCGAGCCGGATGTGGTTACTGTTAGGGAGGGCCGCATTGTTCTGGTCACCCTTGAGAACTTGACCCCTGAAGAGATGCAACGTCGGCAGTTGGGACGGCGAATTTGTGCCATGTGTTTCAATGCTCCAGACAACCCGCCGCCACCAATAGTGCCGCCAAGGCCGATGCCTGAAAATGGCTATCCTGGCCCTAACAATAATGCCAACAGTGGAGCTACTGAAGGCAGAGTGCCAGAAGGCAGAGTGCCGGAAGGCAGAGTGCCAGATGAGTTCGAAAGTGGAGTTCGTGGTCAAATGTTTTTTCGTTTGGAATCTCGCCCGGATGCCTGGTTGACTGGGCCAGCTCGTGCCGAAGGTGAGATTCACGCCTCAGACTCAGATGTGATTGAGGAAGGTGTTCGAGATGTTCGTCTTGGTGAGCTTGGAGGGCGGGGTCGTTTGGGTATTGATTATGGGCACATCTCAGAAGAAGACCCGGACTGGAGTCAGCGCGGCTCAGCGGATGATGGAGCCCCCTCAGATGTGGAGGAAGGTGAGGAGTCAGACAATGAGGAGATGGACGCACTGGACGAAGCTCAGTCGTCCCCAGACTCAAATCAGTATGATTCTGCAGGTGAAGGCAGAGGATTTCGCATTCGTGGTCGTCGATCGGGGTATATCTCCTCAGAACCACCCTCCGACTGTGAGCCACCTGAAGATTTCTGGTGGCCCTAAGGTTGATGTCTTTCAATGACAGCTTGGAAACTTTACAGAAGGCAGAGTGCCAAGAATGCTTGTGTCTGCCACCTCGGTGGCCTCGGAATCGTCGAGGACGATGGATGGACTGCTGTGTGCGGTACCAGAAAAACGAGAATCGAGTGAGGGTCTGGCAGTGCTGTATTTGATTGCTTGAGCATGAAGTCATGGTCTGCAACAACTATGCCACATGTGAATTTCAACGAGTGATTGCATCATGTCTGTCTCATCCTTGTGTTGTGATGGATCAATCGACTCACAAGTGTGTCAACTGCTGAATGTGCTGGTTCACAATTACGTTGTTAATTCGAACACCCTTGAGGTTAAGGTGTTACACTTTCTTGCGGATAGGACAGAGTGCCATGCACAGTGCAATTCGGAGTGCCATGTCTGCAGCAGCAGATGACCCGGCTGAAACAAGAAGAAGACTGTTAGCAGACATTCGGCGGCAGTTTGATGCAAACATCGAACTGGAGAAGAGATTCTTGGCCATTTCGAGAGGACAGGATGTTCTGCGCCTTTGCGAAGTTGACCCGTCGCTTCTGGAGTTCCATAATGAAGGTCCTTATGAAGTTCTGCCTGAGTGCAACTATGATGTGATTCTTGAAGCCAGTGGGTTTTCCTGGATGATATCAATCTGGCAACAAATGTTATCAGAAACTTTTCCCATCATGACTTCGTGGCCATGGAAGAAACAGATGAGATTCCTCATCAACTTTTGTCATTGGAAGCGGAACATAAGGCAGAGTGCCAGGTTCCACTTCCTGGAGATCTTTGCAGGGCAGGGCAACCTCAGTCGGGAGATGCTCCGTGCTGGCTGGCAGGGGCTAGCCTTGGACATCAGGTACGGCACAGATCATGATATTCTTTCTGTGAGAGGACTTCGCCTGGCTGTCAATGCTGTGTGTCAAACACACAAACACGGCCTGTTGTGGTTTGGAACTCCATGCTCTTCCTTCGTCCAACTCTGTAAATACAGTACTGGAAGGTCCATTGCCAATGACTGGATGGGAGAACCTGAGCGATCGCTGGCATGCCAAGAAGGCAATCGTTTCATGTATGTGACGCTGCTGTTGACTTTGCTCGCGGCTTTGAATGACAACCGGTTTGTGATCGAGCAGCCTTGCTCCAGCATGCTGTTCGACATTCCACTCGTCGATCGTGTCATGGGAATGATCCAGGCTATGAAGGTCAAAACCTATGGTGGTGCCTTCGGCCAGCCCATCCTGAAACCGCTTCAACTGTGGAGCAACTGTCAGCACATCAATGGTATGCGGCGCAGCTATCCTTCCCATGTCAGAGGAAGTGCTGGTTGCGTTGATCGAGATGGTGAGAAGTTCACCGGTCGTCCTGAAGATCTTCAGGTGTCAGAGGAGTACACCCCGGAGTTCGGCAAGGCTGTGGCCTTTCATATGATGAGGGATGTCCCAACATGAATTGTAGCTGAAGGCAGAGTGCCAATAAGGCAGAGTGCCATAATTCTCTAGAGTTAAATGAGCTTGCTTCATCTTTCGACATTCTGTCTTGTTGGTATTCTGCTTTCCAATGTTGGGACTGGGTTGAGCCCTGGACCCCGTCCGTTCCCTCCACGAGGTGCCGAGGAAAATCCTCGCCGCCTCGTGGAAGGATCTGAGTGATCCGAGCTGGTGCAGCTGTGCAATGAAAATGTAGAGAGCTTCAGTCACTCCGTGATCAGATGTGTTTGTCGGTATTGTCTCAGTTCGTATGCTGCTGTCGTGCAGGTGGCAATGACCTGGC